TTCAATTTGAATACTACGGTGCTTACAATTGAATTTTTGGATAAGTTGCGAGCAGCTCAGTTTGAAGACCCATACTTGTTAGAAGTTTGAAAGAACTTAGATGAGAAGATGACTAGCACAGATTTCACTTTTAATGATAATGGTCTTGTAGTCTACAATGGGAGGGTTTGTGTTCCTGATGTGAAAGTGTTGAAGGGCACAATTCTTGCTGAAGCTTATAGAAGCAAATTCACCATCCACCCCGGAGCAACCAAGATGTATCAAGACATGAAGCAGTACTGGTAGTAGCATGGTCTAAAGCGTGATGTGACGGAGTATGTGAGCAAGTGTCTAACTTGTCAGAGGGTGAAAATAGAGCATCAGACGCCTGGCGATTTATTGTAGCTGTTGGAAATTACAACCTGGAAGTGGGAAAGCATTTCCATGGACTTTATTATAGGTTTGCCTAGAACACAGGCAGGATATGATGCAATATGGGTCATTGTTGATAGATTGACAAAGTTAGCCCATTTTCTACCTATCAGAGAAGGTTATACCATGGATAAATTCACAGAACTGTATATCCAAGAGATTTTATGATTACATAGAGTGCCTAAGGATATGGTTTCAGATGGTGATCCAAGGATCACCTTGAACTTTTGGAAGGCGATGAATGATGCTATGGGTACTCAATTGAAGTTTAGTACAGCATATCATCCACAGACCGATGGTCAAACTGAAAGAACAAATCAAACACTTGAAGATACGTTACGTGCATGGGTAGTTGGGACAAGCATCTACCGTTAGCGAAATTTGCCTACAATAATAGTTATCATTCAAGTATTCATATGGCTCCATATGAGGCGTTGTATGGTAGAAAGTGTAGATCTCCACTTTGTTGGACCAAGTTGAGTAAAAGAAGCATTATAGGTCCAGACATTGTTGACCAAACCACTCAAAAAATTGAGATGATCTAACAAAAATTATTGACTGCTCAGAGTCGGCAGAAGAGCTATGCAGATAGGCGACGAAGACCTTTGACTTTTGAGGTAGGTGACCATGTGTTTTTGAAAGTATCACCAATGACAAGCATTGGGAGGTCAATAAAATCTAAGAAATTGACTCCTAGATTCATAGGTCCTTTTCAAATCCTATAAAAGCTTGGGACTTTGGCCTATCGAGTTGCCTTGCCACCTCATTTGTCAGGAGTTCATGTTGTATTTCATGTCTCTCAATTAAAGAAATATCAACTCGATCCGTCTCATATAATTGAACCTGAAGAGGTTGAGCTAAAGGAGAACATGACATATCGAGTAGAACTAGAAAGAATTGTGGATGTAAGGGAGAAGCAATTGAGAAATAAGACCATTCGCCTTGTGAAGGTATTCTGGAAAGGAATGGCCCCTGGTAATGCAACCTAGGAAACTGAGGAGAAGATGAAACATTCATATCCTCATTTGTTTGAGCAAGGTATGTTCCCTATGATTATTCAAATTTTGGGAACAAAATTCCTATTAGGAGGGGAGAATTGTAACATCCCAATTTAAATTTTAATAGTTAATTTGGGTTAATAGAAATTTAAAAAAAATATTTAGAGGTAAGCAAATTAGAAGGAGATGATTGTTAAATCTAATCAGGATATAATTCTAAATTAAAATTTTAAAAAAATAATAATTAATTAATTAATTAAAAAAATATTATTATTATTATTATTATTATTATTATTATTATTATTAAAAAGAAAATGTATAAAGAAAGAAAGAAGAAGAAGGAGAAGAAGAAATCGTGCTTTCGGTGCTCTCCCACGGCAATCATGACACACACATATATATATAATAATAATAATAAAAAGAAGAGAGAGGAAAGAGGAAAAAAAACATGTGGGACCCGCAGTATTTTTTTTTTTTATAAAACCACCCTCCTTCCTTCATTTCTTCATTTCATCCCTATACGCGAGCTGAGGCAGAGAGCGAGTGAGAGAGCGAGCGACATTGATAGAGAGACTGACTGATTTAGAAGGTGAAGCTCCATAATAGGATACTTCATATGAGATTTTAAGTATTCTAAAACTAGGTAAGTGTTCTAAACATTTTTCTTAGTCATATTTTCTCTTTGGTTTCTGATTTTGTGGTGGTAGAAAATTTAAGATTTGGAAGAGGGATGAATTTATGTTGAATAAATATGGTTTTGAGGTTGTTAGTAGTGTAATAAATATTCTAGAGTATTATTTTGTTGATAGAATTAGAATTTAAGGCATTTGAGTTTATCCCTAGATTTCTATGGGTAAATTTTTGGTTAAATCTGAAAATATAAATTGATTTGTTGATATTTAGATGATTATTTGAGATGAGAAATAAATTATTATGGCTATAGAATAATGATTCTAGGCTTGAAATCAAGTTTGCAATTTTTGGGTATTTTTATGTGCGAATTTTTGGAATAAAAAGAGAAATTTTGATATTAGAAAAATATTTGAATGAAATTATTGTGAAGGAGACTATTAAACTAAGTAGATAGGTTCAAATACATGAAATTAAATTTTAGAATTCAAGAGACTAAGACTAATTTCTTAAAAAAAATAAATATAAAATAAAATAAAATAAATACTTAGGTCTTAGAGTATGAGTGAAAATTGTGTTAATAATATTATTGACACATTGGGATATGATCAATTGTAGATTAATTTTCTTTTGACACCATTCAAGCTTTGGAAAGCTTTGGAAGTGTTGTAACTTGAGGGGTAACCTTTGACCTCTCAAAGGTTGAGGTAACCGGGGAAAATCTATTTTATGCATTTGTATATTAATTAATTAATTATGTTGGTGAAACAAAAGAATATATATATATATATATATATCTAAATTTGAAATAGTTGTTTGTAATGCATGTGGCTTTGTTGAGACCTTATGATTTGTGACCAAGTTAATTGTGACTTGGTATAAGTAATGAGATTGATGTTGATGATGATGTGCACAATCTTGACTATAAATTATGAATTATATATATGAGTTTTTAAAATGCATTTTTTTATTAGTATGATCATATGGCGGGAGTTCGCCTTAGTGAAGGAGTTAGCGATTACACAAAATCCATATGGTATTTGGCTATTAACCAATAATCCTAAGGGTTATAGCCGCTACTTACCTTGTAAGGTACTGTAGCATTATTCCTATTAAGGGACTTGACCCTACTAGCCTACCTGGAGTTTTGGGTAGAGCTAGTTTTGGGTATGACACCCCATAGTGTGTAATTTGGGGGAAACCTGTTCATAAGTGAGTAAGGTAACCTTGGCCCGGTAGCCCCTCATGATATGATTAAGGCTTTGGGTAGTCTCACCACATGGATGATCCCTTCCGGTTGTTGGCCCACGGATTTCATGTCAGAGGAAATAAGGGGGGATATAAGGAAGAGATTGATCATGCATATTATTATTATCATGCCATTTGAGTGATTGATGGCTATGTTGAGAATATGATTATAATTGTAGAAATGAGAACATGTAGTAATTATGCGAATAATGTATATGTGGCTATTTGTGCAAATTTTATACTTGACTTTATTCTTGAAATTATTCACATGAGTTAAATGTTAATGTGATTAACATGTTATTAATGTGATTGTTTGAATGGTCACCTTGATAAATTTATTGGTCACTTGCATTCATGATTAATTATCATGCATTTATATAACTTAGATATACCTTGGTTATTGAGTGGTTGTACTCACTCCTTTCTTTTAACATATTACAGGAGTTAGCTCATCTGAGAAGAACAGAGGAAAGGAGCATTAGGGCAAGCGATAATAATTACTTCTGTAGGCCTCTCTCCTTTTATGTTGATATGTGTATTTAGTTTATGATATTGCCAATTAGGATAATATATTCTTGATCCATTTGCACTATGGGTTTTGTGTAGGATGGAAAGGTATTTTGGGCTCTTGAGATTGTGTTTTGATGCTTGTATTATATTAATGGGTCAAAATATTTGTGCAAGTAAAAATAGTTATTATCATGCTTCCGCATATGTTTAATTGAATGATATGAGTTCTTAAAATATTTTAAAGACTTGGGATTCCTTTATATTAAATAGTTTGTGAAAAATAAATACATATTAAGAATTCATTTAGGTTAATCTCGTATTGTATAATCCATTTGGGTTAGTCCTTGATTAACCATGGTTAGTATGATGATTAAGTCTTAATTTAGGACGCCCTTTACAAATTAGTATCAGAGCTCTCGAGTTTTGAGAACCGGACTGTGGTTGGTGTGTGACTTGTTATATGATTGTGTACTATATTGTACTTGCATTTGCATATAGAATTGACAATTATCATTATACACATATTCTTTTCCTCTGTGAGCTAGCACTAACTGTTTTTCATTTGTGGTATTACTTCTATCCTTAGGAGGGGAGAATATGGTACTAACCAGGAACACTGCTGCTAATAATTTGGCAATTCCATAAAGACTAGAGGATCAGGTGGTGGTGGAAGATGAAACAACACCGGTTCAAGTCCAACAAGGACAGGTGGTGCCAGAGTTACTAAACTCGATTGAGCAAGTTCAAGTCTTGACTCAAGCAAGACCTTCTACACAAGCTCCAGTTCAAGCTATTCCTACGACTGGTAATAACAATGATGTAGCCCTCCTTACTTCAATATTGATGGACATCCAAAAGAGGATGGATGTTTATGACCAAGTTATATTAGGGAAGGCTGCTGAGGGAAATAGCAAAGTCATTGTGAACGCTACTAGTAACCCTGAGGAGAAGTAAGGGGAAGTGAATTTGGAAGTCAACAATCAACAAGAAGAAGAGTCTTTTAAGGATTTTGAACAAAGTGATCAAAGTAACTCTGTAAGGCAGAGGAAAAGGGAAAATAAAGGCAAAGAGAAAGTGGAAGAGGTTACCATTGACCATGCATTCAAGAGGTTTGCAAGATTGAGCCCGCCATCATTTGAGGGTTCTATGGTAGACCGAGCTGGCGAGAAATGGATTGATTAATTAGAGTCTATTTTCTCTGTGATGACTTGCACTACTGAACAATGGGTCCGATTGGCTACTTTCAAGCTTAAAGATGTGGCAAAACAATGGTGGGAAAGTATTAAGCCTATTGATGGATCTGAATTGACTTGGGAGCAATTTAAGAAGAGGTTCTTTGCCCACTATTTCCCGCCAACTGTAAGGGCAGCAAAAGAAGCTGAGTTCCATAACTTAAGACAAGGCAATATGGATGTTGAAGAGTTCATAGCCAAATTTAATGAGCTCTCTAAATATTCCTTGTACTTGAGGAGTAATGCTGATGAAGAATGGAAGTGTGAGCAATTCCTAGACAAGATGAGACTTGAGTATAGCAGGCAACTGGCAGCTCATGATATTGATTCATTTGAAGTCATGTGTAACAAGTTCAGGGCTGTTACTAGAAGAAGCCAGATGAATGATGGTAACCAGCGAGATGGCCAAGGCTGATATTCCTCTTTTATGGGCCCCATTGGGGGTATAAGTAAGAAGTCAAATTATAGCTCGGGATTCTCTAAGGGTTACACTAGAGGTGGAGGAAGCAGTAAGAAGAATTTCTCTAAGGGACCACAATCTACAGGATCCCAAACTAAGAGCTTCCATTTCAAGAGCTTTGGAGGCCGGAGCCAAGCTTCAAGGCAAGACTCAACTCCATCTGTCATGGGACCATCGGTAGTACGACCATATTGTGATAAATGTAGAAGATTCCACGTTGGAGACTGTTGGGCATGCTATAAATGTAACAAGATGGGTCATATTACCTGTAATTGCCCAGAGGCTATGACTGATGGGAGATCTGTTATTCCTGCTCGTGTCTTCGCGATGTCTAAAGAGGAAGCAAAAGCTTCTCCTAAATTGATCAAAGGTATGATTGTCCTTAATGACAAACAAGTAGAAGCATTATTTGATTTAAGTGCTACGCATTCTTTCATTGCACTAGATTGTATGACTAGACTTAAAATGTGTGCGTGTGAAATGGATGTTGTTATGAATGTTTCTACGCTGACTGGGGCCTCTGCTAAGACCAGTCGTGTGTGCTTTAATGTCAAGTTGAAGTTTGGTAATAGGTTACAATTATTGACTTAATTTGTTTGCCTTTGTTGGGCATTGATGTGATTGTGGGAATGGACTGGCTGTCGGTTAATGGAGCGACTTTAGACTGTAACAAGAAGACAGTCCTATTGCCAGTAGATACTACCATTTCTACAGTCCTGAAATGACTGTGCGTACCATTATGGTAGACATAGAAATGCCTAAGTTCTTGTCTGCTATGGAAGTCAAGAAATCAGATCAAGAAGGATGCCAAATGTTCATGGTGTTCTGCTCAGTACAAGGAGACAAAGAACAAAAGATTGATTAGATAAAAGTAGTGAAAGAATTTCCTGAGGTTTTTAAAGAAGATGTGAATGGTTTTCCACCAAAGAGAGAAGTTGAATTCTCAATTGATTTAGCTCCAAGTACCAAGCCAATTTCAAAGGCTCCGTATCAAATGGCCCCTGCAGAATTAGAAGAGTTAAAGAAGAAACTAAAAGATTTGTTAGCTAAGGGATTCATAAGACTGAGTGTATTACCATGGGGATCACCAGTTCTCTTTGTGAAAAAGAAAGATGGGAGTATGCAATTATGTATCGACTACCGCCAGCTTAACAAGGTGATAATCAAAAACAAATATCCGTTGCCACGGATTGATGATCTCTTAGATCAATTGGCTGGAGCGGTGGTATTCTCAAAGATTGACTTGAGGTCTGGGTATCATCAGTTGAGGGTAAAGGTAGAGGATGTACCTAAGACAGCTTTTAGAACAAGGTATGGGCACTATGAATTCCTAGTTATGCCATTTGGGCTAACAAATGCACCGGCGATATTTATGGACTATATGAATAGAATCTTCAGGCCCTACCTAGATAAGTTTTTTATTGTCTTTATTGATGATATTCTGATCTACTCAAAGAGTCAAACAGAGCATGAAGAGCATTTAAGATTAATGCTACAGATTCTAAAAGGGAGGCAACTTTATGCCAAGTTGAGTAAATGTGAGTTTTGGCTGAATGAAGTGAAGTTTTTAAGGCATGTTGTTTCTGAGGAAGGTATTGCAGTTGATCCTCACAAGGTCGATACGGTGTTGAAATGAGAACGATCGACCTCAGTATCAAAAATCAGAAGTTTCTTGGGGTTGGCCGGCTATTATAGGAGGTTTATTGAAGGGTTTTCTCAAATAGCATCGACGTTGACTAAATTGACCAGGAAAGACAAACCTTTTTTGTGGACCAAAGAATGTGAAGAGGCTTTTATCACCTTGAAAAAGAAGTTGACGACTGCACCCGTCTTAACTATCCCTGATCCTAAGTAATCATTTGATGTTTATACAGATGCATCGCTTAAGGGTCTTGGATGTGTTCTCATGCAAGATGGCAAAGTTGTAGCATATGCATCAAGACAATTGAGGCCTCACGAAATAAACTACCCCACTCACGATCTAGAGCTAGTAGCTGTTGTCTTCGCTCTTAAGATCTGGAGACATTACCTCTATGGTGCACGATTTGAAATGTTTAGTGATCATAAAAGTCTTAAATATTTGGAAGACTAGAAGGAGCTAAATATGAGGCAAATAAGATGGATGGAATTCTTAAAAGACTATGAGTTTGAACTGAAGTACCATTTGAGGAAGGCCAATGTAGTGGCCGATGCCTTAAGCAGAAAGACCGTGCATGTAGCTTGTATGATGATTCATGAACAGAAGTTATTAGAAGATTTCTCTAGTTTTTCACAAAATATCCCAGATTATTCTATGTTCAATTTGAATACTACGGTGCTTACAATTGAATTTTTGGATAAGTTGCGAGCAGCTCAGTTTGAAGACCCATACTTGTTAGAAGTTTGAAAGAACTTAGATGAGAAGATGACTAGCACAGATTTCACTTTTAATGATAATGGTCTTGTAGTCTACAATGGGAGGGTTTGTGTTCCTGATGTGAAAGTGTTGAAGGGCACAATTCTTGCTGAAGCTTATAGAAGCAAATTCACCATCCACCCCGGAGCAACCAAGATGTATCAAGACATGAAGCAGTACTGGTAGTAGCATGGTCTAAAGCGTGATGTGACGGAGTATGTGAGCAAGTGTCTAACTTGTCAGAGGGTGAAAATAGAGCATCAGACGCCTGGCGATTTATTGTAGCTGTTGGAAATTACAACCTGGAAGTGGGAAAGCATTTCCATGGACTTTATTATAGGTTTGCCTAGAACACAGGCAGGATATGATGCAATATGGGTCATTGTTGATAGATTGACAAAGTTAGCCCATTTTCTACCTATCAGAGAAGGTTATACCATGGATAAATTCACAGAACTGTATATCCAAGAGATTTTATGATTACATAGAGTGCCTAAGGATATGGTTTCAGATGGTGATCCAAGGATCACCTTGAACTTTTGGAAGGCGATGAATGATGCTATGGGTACTCAATTGAAGTTTAGTACAGCATATCATCCACAGACCGATGGTCAAACTGAAAGAACAAATCAAACACTTGAAGATACGTTACGTGCATGGGTAGTTGGGACAAGCATCTACCGTTAGCGAAATTTGCCTACAATAATAGTTATCATTCAAGTATTCATATGGCTCCATATGAGGCGTTGTATGGTAGAAAGTGTAGATCTCCACTTTGTTGGACCAAGTTGAGTAAAAGAAGCATTATAGGTCCAGACATTGTTGACCAAACCACTCAAAAAATTGAGATGATCTAACAAAAATTATTGACTGCTCAGAGTCGGCAGAAGAGCTATGCAGATAGGCGACGAAGACCTTTGACTTTTGAGGTAGGTGACCATGTGTTTTTGAAAGTATCACCAATGACAAGCATTGGGAGGTCAATAAAATCTAAGAAATTGACTCCTAGATTCATAGGTCCTTTTCAAATCCTATAAAAGCTTGGGACTTTGGCCTATCGAGTTGCCTTGCCACCTCATTTGTCAGGAGTTCATGTTGTATTTCATGTCTCTCAATTAAAGAAATATCAACTCGATCCGTCTCATATAATTGAACCTGAAGAGGTTGAGCTAAAGGAGAACATGACATATCGAGTAGAACTAGAAAGAATTGTGGATGTAAGGGAGAAGCAATTGAGAAATAAGACCATTCGCCTTGTGAAGGTATTCTGGAAAGGAATGGCCCCTGGTAATGCAACCTAGGAAACTGAGGAGAAGATGAAACATTCATATCCTCATTTGTTTGAGCAAGGTATGTTCCCTATGATTATTCAAATTTTGGGAACAAAATTCCTATTAGGAGGGGAGAATTGTAACATCCCAATTTAAATTTTAATAGTTAATTTGGGTTAATAGAAATTTAAAAAAAATATTTAGAGGTAAGCAAATTAGAAGGAGATGATTGTTAAATCTAATCAGGATATAATTCTAAATTAAAATTTTAAAAAAATAATAATTAATTAATTAATTAAAAAAATATTATTATTATTATTATTATTATTATTATTATTAAAAAGAAAATGTATAAAGAAAGAAAGAAGAAGAAGGAGAAGAAGAAATCGTGCTTTCGGTGCTCTCCCACGGCAATCATGACACACACATATATATATAATAATAATAATAAAAAGAAGAGAGAGGAAAGAGGAAAAAAAACATGTGGGACCCGCAGTATTTTTTTTTTTATAAAACCACCCTCCTTCCTTCATTTCTTCATTTCATCCCTATACGCGAGCTGAGGCAGAGAGCGAGTGAGAGAGCGAGCGACATTGATAGAGAGACTGACTGATTTAGAAGGTGAAGCTCCATAATAGGATACTTCATATGAGATTTTAAGTATTCTAAAACTAGGTAAGTGTTCTAAACATTTTTCTTAGTCATATTTTCTCTTTGGTTTCTGATTTTGTGGTGGTAGAAAATTTAAGATTTGGAAGAGGGATGAATTTATGTTGAATAAATATGGTTTTGAGGTTGTTAGTAGTGTAATAAATATTCTAGAGTATTATTTTGTTGATAGAATTAGAATTTAAGGCATTTGAGTTTATCCCTAGATTTCTATGGGTAAATTTTTGGTTAAATCTGAAAATATAAATTGATTTGTTGATATTTAGATGATTATTTGAGATGAGAAATAAATTATTATGGCTATAGAATAATGATTCTAGGCTTGAAATCAAGTTTGCAATTTTTGGGTATTTTTATGTGCGAATTTTTGGAATAAAAAGAGAAATTTTGATATTAGAAAAATATTTGAATGAAATTATTGTGAAGGAGACTATTAAACTAAGTAGATAGGTTCAAATACATGAAATTAAATTTTAGAATTCAAGAGACTAAGACTAATTTCTTAAAAAAAATAAATATAAAATAAAATAAAATAAATACTTAGGTCTTAGAGTATGAGTGAAAATTGTGTTAATAATATTATTGACACATTGGGATATGATCAATTGTAGATTAATTTTCTTTTGACACCATTCAAGCTTTGGAAAGCTTTGGAAGTGTTGTAACTTGAGGGGTAACCTTTGACCTCTCAAAGGTTGAGGTAACCGGGGAAAATCTATTTTATGCATTTGTATATTAATTAATTAATTATGTTGGTGAAACAAAAGAATATATATATATATATATATATCTAAATTTGAAATAGTTGTTTGTAATGCATGTGGCTTTGTTGAGACCTTATGATTTGTGACCAAGTTAATTGTGACTTGGTATAAGTAATGAGATTGATGTTGATGATGATGTGCACAATCTTGACTATAAATTATGAATTATATATATGAGTTTTTAAAATGCATTTTTTTATTAGTATGATCATATGGCGGGAGTTCGCCTTAGTGAAGGAGTTAGCGATTACACAAAATCCATATGGTATTTGGCTATTAACCAATAATCCTAAGGGTTATAGCCGCTACTTACCTTGTAAGGTACTGTAGCATTATTCCTATTAAGGGACTTGACCCTACTAGCCTACCTGGAGTTTTGGGTAGAGCTAGTTTTGGGTATGACACCCCATAGTGTGTAATTTGGGGGAAACCTGTTCATAAGTGAGTAAGGTAACCTTGGCCCGGTAGCCCCTCATGATATGATTAAGGCTTTGGGTAGTCTCACCACATGGATGATCCCTTCCGGTTGTTGGCCCACGGATTTCATGTCAGAGGAAATAAGGGGGGATATAAGGAAGAGATTGATCATGCATATTATTATTATCATGCCATTTGAGTGATTGATGGCTATGTTGAGAATATGATTATAATTGTAGAAATGAGAACATGTAGTAATTATGCGAATAATGTATATGTGGCTATTTGTGCAAATTTTATACTTGACTTTATTCTTGAAATTATTCACATGAGTTAAATGTTAATGTGA